GAGAAGTCAGACGAAATCCAGTTATATAATTAGTTTTAGATCAATTAAAGAGTTGTGGGAAGTTCAAACTGAGAGTTATACTGGAATCATATGTGTAGGATTAAGATTAAGATTAGGTAACAGAAGTAGAGGACTAAGTCTGGATTATGGAGTCCAGCAGAAGTTCTGGGCGACAAGACAATAAGAATTGTAAAGTAATACAATCAAATATCAGCAGCTTCATTTTGTCGCAGTCAGCATCAGATAAAACTGTAAAGCCTAAATGTTTAGATGCTACTATGAGCTGTGCAGCTATCTCTACTCATGCAAAACTGAGCCAACGCTCCACAAATGCCACGCTGCCTGCAGACAGGTGCGGTTTTTGCTGCAGATTAAGAGTCTAAATCAGCAAGTTGTTTGAGCGCCAAGCCAAGAACGACGAGTTCAAAGATGCCCGAAGCATTTCAACGCAATGAGTTGAAAAGAAATGCAGAGCTAAGCTAAAGGGGGAAAAGATGTGCAGTAAGATTAAAAAAGAGAACAGAAGAAGTTAATTTAAAGACTGGATTCAGGTGAACAGAGGGCAAAAAGAGAGGTTGGCTGGGAATCACTAAAATCTGAAGGGGAACCGTTTTTATGATCATAATTAAATGCAGTTTGACAGAGAAATGATGCACGGTGCATTTGGAAGGAATCACAATAAGATCTGCATCTGAATTCATTAGCATGAATTACTGTTATGATGTTTTCATGCTAAATCCACTCCTATAAATAGACTCCATTTAAACTTCAAACACTGCCACAAAGCTAGAGGAAAGCCAAGAAGACTCTGTTTACCAAGATTTCCTGACTGTTGTGCCAATACATCATTTTAATTCTGATCTTTGAAATATTTATTTCTGTTTTAGAGATTTCTCACATTTACATTCAGGCTCCTTTTGACAGGATTAGAATCAGATTTTGCATTATCGATAATCTGAAGCTGCTTTTGGTCTTTAAGAGCAAAACCAGCGAGCAAACGTTGGATTCCTTTCAGCGATGACCAATACAATGACATGCAACAACAAAGCAGACTCACGCTAACAAAAATCCCCCGCTGGAGCCACTTTTGGGCATCTCTGACTCTTACTGTAAGATATCATCACACTGACATGCAGTTAGAAGTGGCTGAGTGTGAACAAGTGGCTGCAGGCGGTGGCTGTCAGGTCAGTCAGGCTCATGGTGGTGTTCTGTGTACCTGTGTGTCATTTTGAGACCTGCACACATTATTCTGATGTACTGGTGTTTAAATTATTGTGAAATGAATGAAGTCAAATAGTCAAAAGTACAAATTCAGTAAAACCTGGAACAAGAATGTGTTATAGGACACTGGTTGTAAAGTAATAAATGATAAATGACCTGCACTTGTGCAGCGCCTTTCAGAGTCAGAGGACTCCAAAGCACTTTTCACTACAGTGTATCGTTCATCCATCCACACACTGGTGGTGATGAGCTACAGTGTAGCTTCAGCTACCCTGGGACACACTGACAGAGGCGAAGCTGATGCCACCAGTACCGCCAGTCCCTCTGACCACCACCAGCAGGCAAGGTGGCTTAAAGGTGGCGTAGTAGCGTATAGTTTCCTGGCTCTAGGGGGCAGTATACAAACATTTCAGGCTAGTTTTACACCATATCGCCGTGACTGTCGCTCGTTTAAAAAACATTACGGTAAATGTTGTCACCTATGGAGCAGAAAGCATGCAACCTTGGCATGACTCCTCAGACTTTGATGGTTAATTCCATCGAGAGAATGTAACGCTGATGCCTGCCAGAGGGCTCTTGTGTCGACTCATAATGGCGTTGCGTGTGTCCATCCCAACGCAGGCGGAGAAGTAAAAATTTGTCTTAAGCAACACTGTTTAACCCCAAATGGCCGAGCCTCAATCTGGATATTACAACCTCCTCTCTCCATCCTCCTCATCACTCCCACACCAACCTGTATGTCCTCCCGAGGCCATCTCGCTGCCCCCTTGCCATCTTGTCCACTAACTCATTACCCCCAACCCTACAGTGCACCTGTACCAACAAAAACTGAACAATAGACCCATCCTGTGAACTCTATACAAGGTACCTCTGCTACCACATCCGGCCTGCTGTCCGGGCACCTTCCTCTTACGCTCTCCAGTGCTGCACTTGAGGCAGAGCATCTGACCAGCTCCAGCAGCCTGAAACACTGAGAACTGGTGTCCCTGTCATTAATTACAACAAAAGAAGCTGGACAGAATTATCCAATAAGTGTTTTATTTTGAAATAAACTGGAAGCACCTCGCTGGCACCTGTCCCACTTCCTGTCTGGCTCATGTTTTTTCAACTTCATGGCAATCTCCACGCAGTGTCCAGGAAAAATAGAAATCACGTGGAAAGATTCTGCAGCTCCACACCAGGAATCTGTGTGAACTTCCTCACATGTTGTTTGTGAGATTATCCTTGGGTATTTAAACACATCAAAAGACATGGAGCCTGAATGCAAACATATTGCAGTGATGTCACGCAAGAAAACGCCGCCAGTCACGGGCATCTGCCTGAGACCTTTTGAAGGACACTCCTTTAAGGACACTCACGACGATTTCCAGGCTGAACAAATCCAAATACACAAGCTGACCCAAACCAGGACGACTCTGACTACGTTTACATGCAGTCAGTATTCGGGTTTTGATTGGGTTAAGGCCGGTATTCGGGTTTCTGAAAAACACGGAATAACCCGTTTACATGTACAAGTGAAGAGAGGTACCCCTGTATACATGGAACTTCTAATATCCTGATCACATCGCTTGTGTGTGATCTGATGTCTCTATAGGTGCTTTCTGAGCTGAAGAGGATGTGAGCTTCTGGACTTTGCCTCAGACAGGCTCATGGATGTGTCGACACATTGGAGGCAGGAACAAGCGCTATTCAGCCAAAGTTTCATAATCAGGGAACATTTTCTAAGTGACAAGTCTCTCTGAGAGACAGGGTTTGGAAAACGTTCGCTTCAGTGAGGGGAACGGGGCGGATTTAGGACTGAAGAAGATCCGGGGCTTAACACACACGCGCGTGCGCACACACACACACGTGACACGCACTAGTCAACATTATATATTATTTGTCTTGTACCACATAAATTTTCATCTGAAGCTACATATTCAGCATATTCAGGGCAGAGTATTGTTCCTGTTAGTGTTTAGTGTGAGATGATAGTAAATATTCCCTTTCTTTCTCCAACAACTTTACCTGATAGTAAGCTAACTTTAGGCAAACCAGCAGCACAACAAATATTTTCAAATAAGACTCACAAACCTGAATCAACACCAGTCTCATCAAAGCTGGGGTTCTGTCGCGGTACTTTTGGGCTAAAAAACGTCCTTATGTCCATCTTCACTCATGCGTTTCAGGCAGAGACTGTAGAAGAAGCCGGCTGCTGAAGGACTTCTTCAGTGGTGGAGGCTCAGGCAGGCTGTATACAAACTACTGCCAGCTGCTCCCCCTCTGTTGGACTTTGGTACTGCATGTTACTTCCACGTTTTAGATCTGGGGCTTTTCATAAAACATTCAGCGCTTGAGCCCAAGTAGCCAGGCCTAACGCCGCCCCTGGAGGGGAACATTCCTGCATGCGCTCTGGTTCTGCTGCTGCTTGTGACCGATGTGCTCCAACCCCTCTCCACGTCTTCAGCTTGCTGTCCATCTCACGTGCGAGCTGTCAGCGAGCTGCGTTGAGCGTGGTGTCCAGTTTAACGCTCAGATGTTCTGATGAGAATCTTTTCTCGATTGATTTAGCTACCTCCGCGATGTGCATAACGATTAAGATGCCAACGCATCTGCATGCGTCGGGGTAATTCTTTCAAAGTGACCAACAGCCTTGAGGTTTCCCCGTCAAAATAAACGGTCAACTACGGGAAATATCCAGTCAGTGCCAACCCTGATATTTAACTGTTTTGCCTTCTTGAGGAGATTGTTGCAAAGAGAAACATTAAACTTGATCAACACCAGAGCCATGCGCACCCGTCGTCTCCGTCGCTGTAAATGAGGGGAAAAAACTAATTGATCGGATAACTTTCTTACTTTTTGAAGTGTTTGATGAAAAGTGTTGTTCAGTAGAAAGTTTAATTACAACAGTCCAACGAGACAGAGCCTGGATTTGGATTCTGAACAGTTAAACACATTTTCAAAGGAGACGTGTTTGACGCGTTAAAAAATCGGCACATGCTCAGGCCCGGTAGGCCCGCCCACAACGCCGCGGCTGCTGTGGCTCCCAGTGTTTTCTTTACTGCGGGAAACGGGTAATAATGGCTCTTTGATGGGAAAACATTGCCGGCCCCGATCTACTCAAAAGACCAAGATTCCTTGCGAATAGAACATGCACAGAGCGCACCTCTTGAAAGCGTTATCCCGATACGAGTTTCCATGGCCTGATATTAGAGTTAGAAAAGGTTACCCCAAGGGTAATAACCCGGTTTTAAAAACCCGGTTATGAGCATAACCGGGTAGTTGACGGTGTTTACATGGCCTTGAGGAACCGGGTTATTGGCTGCATGTAAACGCGATGAGTGTCTTTGTGTAGAAGTGTTATTGAGATGCTTTTTCATTTTTATTGTACTGGTTTGAGTTTCTGGGTTAGTGCATTTTTGCCAGACTCTGTTATGGTTTATTTATTCTGTTCCTTTGTGTTCAGCATGTTTCCAGTTTGCTTCACTTTCCATTTTGGGATAGTTTATTGTTTCTCTCTTAACCTGTCACTCAGCTCATCAAACCACCTGTTAGTCATCCACGTCACCTCTCCTTGTACACATAGTCCTGTGTTTCTCAGCCCCCTTATCAGGTCCTGGTGTTAATCTTGGCTCAGTCTTCTGTGGCCCTCAGGTGTTCTTATGTGGATTTTGTTGCTGCCACATCAGTTCCTGTATTCAGAGTTGCTAGTGATGTTTCAGTCCCAAACTGTAGGTCACTGTTTTTACAGTGTGTGTGTGTGTGTGTGTGTGTGTGTGTGTGTGTGTGTGTGTGTCCAGGACCCTGACAGACCTGCTGAAGCAGCAGGGAAGTGAGACGAGCTCAGTGGAAAATGCCACGAGCGGTTCACCCAGCGGAGCGAGGGCCAACGGCATCTCAACCAGGATGCTGCGCAGTAGGAGTGGTGAGTGCAGAAAGATATAACACACACACACACACACACACACAGTAGAGCATACACCGATGCAGACAAATGAATGAATAACACTCCTATTTTCTGTTGTTAAGAAACAACAAAATAGGTTAATCACCTTCCTGTGGCAATTAGATTTTACTATTATTATAAAAGCAGACGGCACCGCTTTAGAAGAGCTCCTTATGCACGTCGTGCATTTCCTGTAAATGTAAAAAGAACTTCCTTCATTTTTAAAGCTAATCTGCATTTATCTGTGTGTAAGTGATAAGAAAGTATGTTGAGCAAAATATACAGTACATGTAACTATGTACTCCTGAGTTGTTCATTAACGTGACTGATTTTAGGTTAGATGGAGATTTTCTGGACCTGGTTAAAAAAGTCCTCATTAGATCAGTGTCTTCAAAATGTGACAGTTTGTCACTTTTTTCTTCAATTAAAATGTACTAACTTAGAGGAATTTCTTAAAATAATAATACAAATTGTTATTAAAAATCTGCTTTTGTAAGCAAATAACAAAGCAATCACAGTAATGACGTCAATGTTCCAATGAGATCTTTGTATCACTCTGTTTTGATACGGATGCTTATTAAATATTTACTTACAGTCAGAATGATTGACACGTTTCTCTCATTAAAAAGCAAATATAGATGAAATGACGTGTTTTATTTTTTGGTTTTGATTCTACATGTTGGCTCTAAGAAAGGAAACTTTTCACACAGGAAATAAAATAAGTCACCCACTTTCATTTGATCATTATCCAGTTTAAGGCATTTATTGCTTTTGGGCCATTTTGATGTGTTTTCATAATTTGTACTTATTGTCCTCACTATTGTAATAGTCTTGTCAAAAGTTCTTAAAAAGCAAGAAAATAAATGAAAATATCCTGCTAGCATTTAGAAATTCAGGGAAGACCTTTTGTGGAGGAACTATGACACTTATTAAGAACTGTTAATTATAGATGTTGCGTAGAAAATATAATACTGGGGAAAATACACTGAGCAATATGACATGCCTGTCTGTAACTTGAACGTGTTTCTTGTGCAACAGGTGAGATGAATAATTATGGTAATTTAAACAGGCTGAACCCCTACAGCAGCCTTCATTAAACATTGATTCTGACCGCAGAAACTCCTCCTGGATAATAGTCGTGTACGTTTTGCTCTTTTGTTTAACAAATTGTGGAAAATTGAGAAGAGGTTGTGAAAAAATAAACGTGAACAAATAAAATGTGCATGTTTGTTAAAATACAGGAATGTATGGCTGTGCAGTTGGCCCTGTTGCATGACAGCAAGAAGGTTGCAGGTTAAATTCCTGACTGCAGCCTTTCTGCATGGAGTTATGCTCTCCCCATTTCGTCCAGATACTCCAGTTTCCTCCCACCAACCAACACCATGCATGTAAGGCTGACTGGTGACTCTAATGAGTGAGTTAGTTTGTTTGTCCCTGTGTCTCTCCCTCATTGACTGATGGAGTTAGACACCGGCTCCCTGTGGCCCTACAGTTGATGGATGGATGGATGTTTACTATACAGCCTTGTGAAACGTCTCACTAAAGACTTTATGTACTAATTAACTTAATTTGATTCCAAATGAAACATTGCTTGGATTTTTTTCTCCAACTAGCTACTAACAGTCACAGCCTAGCAACACTAGTCTTGACTGTAACACATCACCTGGAAGCTGTCTACTATTGTATATGTATGGTCGACACACAATTTGACATCACGAAACCTTTTCCTTTGTCCCAGAACTTCATTTGCTCAAACAGCACAGGAATGAATGCAGACATGGTCCAGAATGGTGCCACGGGACAAAGCAAAACACAACATAGGTTGAAAACAAAAACAAAAAATGGATGAAAAGAATTGGATTTTCCATTGTAGGAGACAGCGTTCTGCTCATTAGAGGCGGTGATTGAAAACATTAGAACTGATTGGTGTGGAGTTAAAAGCACGGGAGCTATTCTTAATGTTTTAAACATGACTTTTTACAAAAAAATTTAATTCCAGTGAATAAACAAGTGAGAATTTCTAAGCTCCCACTAATGCATCCATTTCTACAAAGTTTATTGTACAAATAATACATTTCTACAAAGGTTATTATATAAAATGGCCATCAGGAAGATGCAACTGTAATCATTTGTGACCAAATGGTCATATTGGATACAGGTCCCATACTCTATTTTTATATTTAAGGTGCATCTTTCACAGAACCATGCAGTACAAGATACATAAAATATGCAACTGTGGACATTAAACACAAATTTAAAATAAAACGAATAAAACACGTTGTCAAGGTCGAGGTCAACTTTATTTATATACTAGCACCTTTACTGTTCCTCACGCAACCCAAAGTGCTGAACAGAACAATGCCATGAAATAAAATATGCTCCAGTAAAACATATATAAAATTATGGCTTTATACAACAAAGTATATGATAAAAACCATAAATAAAAGGATGAGAGTGAACAATAAGAGACTCGTTTAAAAATAAAACAAGATACAAACAATAAAAACTACAATAAACCAGATAAAAAGAGAATAAATGCTCAACTCATCTACTGTTAAAACCCAAGTCAAATAAAAACGTTTTAGGTTTTAAACTGCTCCATGCTTTGAGTGGTCCTCGGTTCTAGGAGCAGATTGTTCCAGAGCCTAGGGCCAGCCACTGAAAAAGCTCTATCCCCATGGGACTTTAGACGAGCTTTGTGACTGGGGACAGGATCTCGAATTCCTGGCAGGAGTGCAGGTGGTGAGTAAATCACCAATGACAACATTCAAGATCGGATGGAGCAGCCCGTGACGATACTATGACGAGATCCTGAGGCCAACTGTTGTTCCATTAATCTACGACCATCACCTCATGTTGCAGCATGAAAATGCACATCCCCATGTTGCAAGGGTCTGGACACAGTTCCTTGAGTCTGATAAATTCCCAGTTCTTGCATAGCTGGCCTACTATTCTGACATGTCCCATGTTTGCCGTGTTCTGGAAATATTTTGCAACTCCACACATTCTTGTAGAGGAGTGGACCAACATGCCACAGGACAAAATCAACAACCTGATCAACTCTATGTGAGTCAGTGTGTCACAATTCTTCAGGCAAATTGGGGACACACCAGAAACTGTCCATCTAGACTGGTTTTCTGACACACACATCCCCCCACCCCCCACCACCACCCCCACCCCCAAGTACAGTAAAACTACACATTTCCATAGTTACCCTTTATAGTAGCAGCCTAATTTCCACCTGTTTAATGATATTCATTTATAATTTTGTTGAGTGCACAACAGAAGAATGACTTCTAAACATATGAGTGTCACAGCAAAGGGTCTGAATACTTAGGACCATGTGATATTTCAGTTTGTCTTTTATATCAACTCTGCAAAAAAAAATTTTATTCTGTGTTTTTCTGTCAATATGGGGTGCTGTGTGTACATTAAAGTGACAATGTGTAGTTTTTACCATTAATTTCTGGAAACATCCATTGAAATGTTGTAAACTAATTAAAAGATGCCCATTTGATGAAAAATATTGGCAGTTTCATAACGTATAACCATAAAAATCTGTTCTAAAATACACGGGAGTGGGTCTAAGTCTCTGAGCGACGCCATATTAGATTCCGTATTTCCTTCTACGGAAGCCCGAGAGGACAAAATGCATTTGCTGATTTGTAGCAAATGGTTACAAAACTATCGCCTATAAGCGTTGTTGTTTTACACATTTACCTCTTCGCTCATATCCAGTGATGAAAGAGATTTGATGTTCTGGTTGTTTTGCTGGACAATGAGCTCCCAGGAATTTTTGTCCCTAATGGCCATCCGCTGGTAAGGTCTTACTTGAACACAAAAGTAATGCTTCCTTGCAATCATTTAGGTATGTACTGCCCCCATTGCCAGGGAAAATACACACTGTCGCTTTAATGAGGAAAATAATAATAATAATAATAATAATAATAATAATAATAGATTTTATTTGTAATGCACGTTACATTTAAATGAAATCTCTAAGTGCTGAAATTAATTTAACTGATTTTAGAAAATGGCTCCAATATAACAAAGAGTGAAAAATTGACGGGGGTCTGAATACTTTCTGTACAAACTGTATAGGATGGCTTGCCAGGGTGGTGATCCCTAACATTTAAGACAAAAATGTTATCACTGTGAAACATTTAAAAAAAAATTTTTTTGTTGTTTTCCAAAATACTTAAATTCGTGGCCCAAAAACTTAGGGAAAAATACTTATTATTGCTGTATGTAAATAATTGAGGGATATTTTTCCAGTCCAGTTACACCTTTCTATGACTCTTCTCTAACTTATACCTTTGGATAAAGTGTATCCAGGCTGAAGTGTGACGTTAGCTGAGCAGCAGATAGTACGACGATTTCACCAAGTGAAAAATTTGTATTTCCAAAGAATTTGCTTCAGGTGTTTATTTATCTATTTATTGATTTAATCCTGTTTTTCCCCCTCAGATGGTCAGGAGTGGTATTCAAATTCACACCTTGCCTCCAAATGCTGTTTCATGCAGAAACATCAGACCTTAATCTCAAAGTTCCTCTTTACTCTGGGGGTGAAAAAGAAGGTTTTTAGCCTTCGCTCAAAGGTGAAAAAAATGTCAAAAAGTCTTTGAAGTCACATCCTCCATAGTTTGTATGAGCCATGGCTGCCTGCTATAAAGGAGGGGAAGGGAGGAGAATGTTTGGAGCAAAAACCTCAGACATGACTCACTGTAGAGAAAAGGCTTGAAGCAAAAAGCTATGACCTATTTATCAAACATAACTGCAGACGTAGAGTGACCCAGTAACAAATCACTCCTGATGAAACACATTTTGCCCTCTTTCAGCTATTTGTTTTTCTGTTTACCCAGCTGTCAGAAACTTCAAGTACTTCTCTAAGATGTTCTCTCTTAACTCCTCCCTGGAGCTGGGAACAACTTAGTCCTGTAAATTATTGATCACCGTGCTAATGGAGTGCTGATTGGTAT